AGAGGATTGGATTCATGTCGCACAGAACACATGTTCATTTTCTAAGGTCAAACTGAGCAATCCTTAAGGTCTGCCTAGACCAGGTTTCTCTCTGCAGCAGTGTACAAAACAAATGTGATGCAAAGCATGTAAGAACACAAAGCTTCTTGGCAGTTTCTAGCTAGCAGGACACCCCTCACTTTGATGTGGTTTCTGCATATTTAGTAGCCTGGATTTCTTTCCTTGACTTGATGAATCTCTCTTTGAGCTTGTATTGCTATATTGAGCTATATTGATTACTACAACAGCCTGCAGGAAGAAGTTCCAGAGCTCAATCACCTGTTGCACACAGAACCACCTCCTTTGGCTTGTTTTGAACCTGTCTCCTCCTAGATTCATTTGATTCACCTTAATTTCTGTGTTGAAGGAAAAAAAATATCCAATTGAATCAATATTGCCCTGCACCATGCAGTCACAGATATGCAGACCTCTCCCTTACACCCTCAATCATCTATTTTACCCTACAGGCATCGTACATGCTAACAAAATCTGACGTCATTAGCAAACACTTTTTCAAACCCAACCGTAACTTAGATCTACTCCTAATCTTAACTGTACTCCAATAATCCTTGCCAGCCTCAAAACAAGCCACACCTGTATACTTCATCAGTCCACAAAGAAACCTGGCAGGAGTTACCAGTACTTTGTTTTCACCCCATGTTAGCCAAAACCCTAACCACCAGTCCAAACTTTATGCATTTCACAGCAACAATCCCAGATTTCCGAGATATTTTTTGTTTGCTCGTTTTGTTTTGTTTTTAATCCCATTTGCTGTCACCAGCATTCCTCCCAGCCCCACAGACTTGGCAAAGTCTTGTAATATCTTCTCAAGCCTGTTGAAAACCAAGATATGCACAAGTAACCACATTTCCAACTCAGTGCAAATAAAAAGACTTTTACTTGCAAACAGCAACTCCCATTTGTGCCCTGTGTGATCTACAGAGATAGAAAAACAACTTTCTTCCTGCCCAAGCACTAACCTGGTTTAAGAGATAGTTCAGGAATTGGTAACCACCCCAGGAGTCCCCTAACCAGTACCGACCCTTCTTCTGGTTTCATGGCCTTTCTCCCTTCTGGCCATGAAGTGATATTTACAGTCTCCAAGCAGAGGCAGATTTGAAGCCATTCGCCCTCACTAACCCCAGACTACATCCAGAACTGAAGGAAATGCAGGACTTGGCACTAAACTTATCTCTTCCACACCCTGTTCTCCTAAATCCTAAAACAAACTGCAGTTAACACTCTAGCTTTACTTTCAATGCTGTGTCCTAATTGCTGCCTCAAAACTCACTAAGAGCCTCTCACACCAGCTTGCCACATCCCACACACCCGTGACTGAAGAACATGTGCTGCTTAGCAGCTTCTCCTAGGCTGGAGCGTAACCAAAAACTCCCCTGATTTCCAGGAAAACTAGGTGAATGACTACACTTATTAGCACAAGCCTGGACATCCACATTCTCCTCAAGCCTTGATGTCCTAGAACCTCACCCAATGCCACCACCAACCATGGAGGCCAGCACACTGTGGCAGACACAAATCCATCCTCAGGCAATATATTTAGCTGACAGCATGTCTTATTTTCAGCCCAGTGAAATAACAGGTTTGAAAACGCATCTTCTTTCTTCAGCCTCTCTCTTCTTTATGCCTAAAGTGAATGCCAGACCTGCCTTTCCAGCTGGCCAGACACACAGATTTTCCTGAAAACTAGGCCAATGTCGTTTAACCTTGCTGGCTCCTGCTGACATCTGCTACAGTCACACTGACTGGTGTAATACTAATTCTGCACAAACATTTTGTCTGTGACCATGGTAAGACGGAGCCCCTTTTCCCCTAACTAACTGCCAGCTCTGTCGCCAGTTACAAGAGTTACAGTTTGAGCAAGAAGATGAGGAGGAAAAAGCCTTGCTGTTGAGGTAAGGGGCTATGGCCAGAGGACGGATTGTGGGCTGTTAGCACAGAGACRGTTACTGGAGCCCTGCCCACCTCACAGAACCAGCACTCAGTTRGGCTGTTCTCTAACCCTTCTGCTGGGTCCCTTTTGACCCAACTCCTCACATATTTTGGAAAAATTTGCCACCCRGAGCTGTCCAGAATCTTACACTAAGGCAACACTCATATAGAACAATGTGTCCTCCCCTAGCTCTGTGAAATAGCAATAGAGAACAGCCCTATGATCCCTGTTTCCTCATTTGCAGATGGATCCTGCAGGCCCAGCATGAAGACTGAGGCTGCCCATGTAGACACATCTACAGTTAGCTCCGAGGCCATCAGTGGGTCACTGACTGTTCTGAAGCTAAAGATTAGTGCTTGGGTTCAGGAAMGAAGGAACTGCTTAGCAAGCTTCACTTGCCAGCACATGGAGGCTACAGGCTTTGGATAGCCTGCARTACTGTTTTGGTTGCAGCTCAGGGTAATGGTTGGGTTAAGGTTTGTGTTCAGGAAAACAAGAACTGGAGCAAATTCTGCAGGTCCTACAGACCTGAGATGAAGGCTCATGCCAGCAGACTACAGCTATGCTGAACAGGAGCTCAAGGTCCAGCTTCTTTCTAGACTCTAAAGGCCCAGGTAGCGAGGACCTACTGAGGAGCCTCCGGCAGGTCAGCGTGCGGACCCACAGCAGGTATTGAATGGATGCAACAGTTGTTCAGGCCTTGAAGACACTGGAAGGTCTTAATGGCCCTGACCAGCCAGGAGGATTCAGCACCTCCACCTACTGCAAGGTGCTCCAGCAGTCCCATTTAAGTTCAGCCCTGGTGTTGGCTGCTGGACCCATCCTGACCTATCTTGCCACCAGCCCCGCCTTGGGCCCAGCTCTTCACAGGACGCTCTGGATCATCCTGGGCCAGAGTCATCCCCTCCCAGTGGCAGAGGCAGTTAATAGATCCCACCACTATGCCCTGCTCTACCCCTGTGTTCAGCCCCGTGGGGCTGAGCCCCTTCATGAGGGCTTGGCCTGCACAGGGGTCCCCCTCAGCCCACCCTTGCTGCTCACTGACACAGCCCCAGCCCCCTTTCCCTWCTTCACAGCCAGCTCCAGCCCTGTCTCCTCTGAGAGCTGCAGAGCCAAGCGAAGCCGCTGGCGCTCCTGGCAGCAGAGCTCACCTGTGGTGTGTGCAGGCAGCAAGCAGGAGGCTTTGCAGGATTCACACAAAACTCATCTGCAGCTCCTGCTGTCAGGACCCACACCCCAGCATTAGCCATGATAGTTCATGAGAATAGGAACCGACAAGCTAAACTGAAGTGTGGAGATTAGAAAGCCATAAAAAGGCTGGGATCAGGACTTTCCGAAACTTTTGGGGGCGGGGGGAGGATGGAAGATAGAGGCTTCTGGATCAATTGGCTAAAGTGAGGGTTAGGCTCACGCTCAGCAGGAGYGGAGGAGCTGCTCTTAGTGTGGGATTTGAGAATGCCTTGAGAGCTGTAATAGYGGTTATTGCTGGCAAGGGGAAATGCCTGTTTGGAGCTGGGGGGTGTTGCCGGCCTGCAGGCGATGCCCGTGTTCCTGTGGGCACCGCGGAGCCGCTCGGACGGCCCTGTTCCCCCCTGCCCTCCTACGGCTCAGGAAATCCACGGAGCTGAGGGTAAAAATAGTCCCTGCTCAACACCCTGAGAACGGCTCCGCTCTTCCATTTAGGAATCTTCTGCTATCGTTATGCAATGTAGCAAGCCAAACACACAGAGACATGTGCAGAGCAAGAAGCAGCAGCTGGAATCAGCCCAGGACAACTTATAAATTGATGACCCCCATCTTAGAATAAATATGTCAAAAGCAGACAACAGTAAATCCCTCACACTGTGCCTCTAGGAGCCCGGTATTAATTTCTCCACTAGAAATGTTGTGCACAGATCAGAGCTTTTCAAATCAGACAGCATGTTTCCTGAAAGCAGTTGGAGCCTTCCTGGTAATAGGAGCTGTTGTCACACCATAAGGATCTCCCAAAAGAGCCAGTCTGGCTTTGCAGCATATGCTGAATAAGAATTTCTTGATCTAAAATTGTGCCTCAACTGCACTGCTGCAATCAGGAGGCAGCAAGGCCAGAAAGCAACACAGAGGAGGACGGCTCTTCTTTTCCCTGCAACATCAGAAAACACMTCCAGAAACTCCTGAAATGCCTTTCCCCAGTTCAGTAACAAAACAAASCAATCATTTATTCGCCTGCCTTGTCTTAAAAGCAAGTCAGCTTCTTACCACTCGCTGGGAACACTCTCCCAGTTAGGCCTGGAGGGAAAGGTGGCACCTGCTAAATCACAACTACCATTGCCTTGCTGCTGTGGCCCAGCAGAGCCAGAGGAACACAGCACTAACCTGACCGTATACTGAGTGCCAGGCAAGGAAAAATCATTTTGCAGGACTTAATCATCTCTTTCTCTCTTTAGAGAACACTCATAAAATAACAAAATGAAAATATTGTTAATGTAAATTTCAAGATTGTTATTTTTAATTAATCCCTGGCAGCCCATTGTACTCTCAGCTTGAACTACGTAGTACAAAACCAGTAACAGGGCCTCCTTGCACCTTGCCTTCCACTTCTAGAGTACTAAACAGCCATCAATATTCCACTAAGAGGCATGGTCACCTCCTTCTTGTACAAGCTTCGCCTGAGACAAAGGCCGAACACACTTGTGTCTCATATCTCAAGAGGAATCAGTTTTAAGGTTTGAGATTAGGCCTTAGTTTCTAGTTCTGTGCTCAAAAAATTAAATTATATGCTTTAGGCTTTGCATAAAAGTAAAACCACAGTTTTCAGTAAGCAAGAATATATAAGATAATTCTAGAAGAACTGGAGCATGCTTTACGGTTCAAATAATGTTGATCTCTAATTTAGACAAAGCAATAAGATACAATTAGGTTAACACAACAAAACAAGTTCTCATTCACCATCTGTAAAGCATTTTAGTTTAGGAAAAAAGGAATGTTGAGACTCCACCTGTGAAAAGATGTTTGATTAGTGGCATTGTACCTTGTCAGTAAATATGGTGAGAATGAAGCTGGATTGTCCTGCTCGGAAAACATTGGCATAGATCCTCCCATTATCCAGAGGCGGAAATACAAAACGAGAACCACCTTCAAAGAAGAATATCTAGTTTAGTAATATGCTACAGCAGAATTAAGGCCTCCAGCATTTTTTTTTTTTTTTTTGATACCTCTCTCATTTTGACTTGACAACCGCTAGCTGACTTGCATCTGAGCATAAGTAAAACTTCAATTTTGCAACCCAAATTCCAAAGTCAAAATTCAACCCTGGGATCCTTGTTCACCTTCCTTGACCCTCTGAGACTGTCCAGAAGGGGACATGGCAGTGCCCAGGGCTTACCCAGGCAGGAGGCTGAGTGGGCCATCCAGGGAAGAAGAACCTACCTGTGAATTTCCAGGCCTGTGCAGTCKCTGGCAGTGCTGCCCCAATTCCACCCCATGAGACACCTCCATCCGCACTTCGCTGTAGTGCAGAATCCAGGAGAGCTTTGGAACAAAACCCTCCCTAGCAGGTGACTTCTCAACATCACGTAGAAATTCTGAATATCCAAGTGATGAACRTGCCAGTTCTCAACACAGACAGCAGGCTATGCTTGTCCCCACTCCATTCGTGYGCACATTACCATCAGGAACTGGCACATCAAGGCCACCCACAGCACATGGATTTTGAAGGACAAATCTGTCACCCTGTTGTGGTTCTGACTAGAGAGCTTTACTATCACCCTCTACTGAAACAGAGGGAAAAACAGGGCTGGCATCTTAAAAGCCACCATTATTCACTCATGTTGGCATAGCTCTAAGGACAAGCTCCACTGATGTTTCTCATACAGTGTAACCCTAGACCCTGGAAGGACTTCTGCTGGCTGGCACTTCACCACCTTCCTGGGAATCAACGGTCACTGCCAGATAAACAAGAGGACCTGGCTTATGGAGGAGCACAGGGAGATGCACACCCCGTGGGATCCTGCTGATGTCCATGTTTTCCTCCTGGAGTTTGTGAAGCCCTGCTTGAAGTGCCCCAAACACCAGGTATTTTAAAGCAGAACTTTTCTGGTGACTTTTAGTGAGCCTGCTTTGAAGGTAGCAGCATGTCACTGAGAAGTCAATATTTGCCAGTCAGCTCAGTGCTGAGATTCTTCCCATATTTATAGACTGAAATACTTACAGATGATTACAAAGTTATAACCCCTAATAAATTATGAGAAAACGTGGAGTGAAAACCCAACACCACAAAATTACTGTGTCTGTCCAGCTGAAGTTTCCTAGACTACTTCCCAAGACTAACCTGTGTGCTAAGACCTACCATGTCAGCTCTCTGACTCCTGTGAGACAACGCTCATTCTAGTCACACGTACGCAAACACAAGGTCAACTCCTTTCATACTTACATAGCTTATCACCAGAGCAGCTCTCTTTAAAAATGGCCTTGCAGTATACAAGAAATTCTGGTTGTTATTTGCAGTCAGGTAGCTGAAATATAAGAAAACAAATAGTTATTGAAATGCTTTGGACAAATAAATCATTTCTCAAATTGGAAAAAAAAAATGGCCTGTGCATTGTTTTAACTACCCTGAACTAACTTGCTATAGTAATAAATTATTAACACTTTTATTCTTTAAATCCCTTTCCATGTGACTTAATTATACCCATAAAATACTGAAAACATTTCAAATAATACATATCACAATACACTGCATTTCCGCTCCCTCTAATTTTTTTAACGTGATTTAACTTGTTAATCCTTATAAAAACTCAAGTATTTGTCTCTCAAGATTGCTGGTTCTGATTTCCCAGAAGAATATACTGAGACACGTTTTTAACAGGTCACCCAAACCAAGCAATTCCACTTCAGGCCATGATTAAAGTGCAAAAATTCCTTGTTCTCGGCTCTCAGTCTCTAGAGAAGGGAAGAACTGCCTATTAGAACTGAACTGACTTTAAGCATTTTTGCCCTCAAAGTATATTCTGCACACCTAAATTCCAGTAAAAGTCAGCTGACAGAGTGCTACAATAATTAAGAGCAGTAAGTCAGGCACTGGTACCTTGTTGTTCTAAAGGCTTTTGTGAAAACCATCCTGTTTCTTAAGGAGTATAATTWAAATATTTCTGAAATACGTAGTTTTGGCCCTAGAAGTAGTTTAATACAGGGTAAAAGCACTTCTCAAATATAACAAATGGCACCTTCCCTATGACATTAATTCCGTTGTAATTGCGTTTCTAGAGAACGTTACAGGTTTTTTGTCATTGTAAAGCAAGCAATGAAAAACAAAAATAAAGAAGTAAATACAGGGAAAAAAAAGATGACAAGAAAGTGGAAAGAAAATATTTTAAGCCAAGAGAAATGAGACAACTGTTGAAAAACTGACAAGTAATTTTAAGAAGTTATAAGTAACAAGCAAACAAAATAAATATAGAACTGAAGTATTTGTAGGCTCCTCTGTGTAACAAAGAGTCAGTAAAAGTCATCTATCCTGGGACAGTCCATTTATATGGACAGAATGAAACACAACAACCCGCACACAAGTTAGCTCTGCAAGCRTGAAAGAGCCATGCATTTTTTTCGTGAACATCTAACACATAAAATACATCTTTCCTCCTCTCCACAAGCCTCAAAACACTCTGTCATCTGACCACTTCTACCCCTTAAGTCCTCAGGGAAAAAAAAAAAAAAGATTGCAGCACTTCCTAAGTTTGCCAAGAATCCTTAATATCTGGTGCTCTGTTTAGAWTTTCTATAGTAGGAAGTTTGCAATTCTGGTCACCATGGGAAGGCAGCAAAGATTATACTGCAAACAGAGGTAGCAGCAGCAAAGCCAGCACTAAAGGAGTTAGAAGTTAACAAGAAGCACGTCTGGGGGTGCCCTCTAGAAAACAACTGCTTGTCAGAAAACTTATGGAAGTGTCACACCTAAAACTCAGTAACCAAACCATAAGGGTTTSGTTTATGGTAGAATAAGGTAAGGAAGCCAAGTGACCTTAGGTCTTTGGTATCTACTTATTTACAAATGTTGACATTTAAGCACAGAATCTAACTTAAATGTCAGACTAGTCTTYGAGGGCTGAACTCTGCAAAGTGCAGAGTTTTTAAGCTCCCACTGATTTTAATCAGGCTCCAGCAAGTACAAGCAAGAGGAACCTAAGTGTTCAGTCTTCAGTCTCCAGGAAAGGTCAGCTTGGCCTTCAAGTGCTCACCATGGCCCTGCTCCAAAACCCACCGGAGCCAAAGGGAAAGACTCTCAGCGACTTTAACAGCATTTGGATCAAACCCTGGTCTTTTGTTCCCTATTGCAATGTTTTATGAAACCCAGCTCCCTGGCAAATTTTGGTCAGAACAGAAGTGTTAGGTTGCATTTTGTTTGTATTTTTATGACTGAAGGAGAGGGACTGCCTACTATTATTCCTATAGCCTGATTCTTTCTGTTACAAGGAACCTGTTCTCATTTGCTTGTATTTTTGACAAACTGCAACACTTTGGGCAGAAGTTTTCCATTACAAATAGTTGCTGGGGAGGGTGAGGGACACAGAGAGAGAGCCTGAACAGCTCAKTTTTTTTTCCAAGACTTTATTTAGAGAAAGAGTCTGGCAACCTGGCTGAGTCTGGCAACCTTCTCCTTGAGAAACTGCATCTATCACCTCCATGCCTTGGTCCAGTGAGAGGCTTGTGAGGCTGCCATCATCTCTGGGCCATGTCTTTTGGCACCCTCTAGAAGAGCCCACCCACATTCACAGAAATTATAAGTCCCCAAGCGCAGGGATGGGGGGGACAGGCAGACATCACTTTGCAGATGTCTGGTAGAGATTAGCTAAAATTTAACAGATTTAATGCAATTTGCGTCAAGGATGTTCCAGTGGGAACAACTGCTACAGGCAATACTCTGTTTGAAGAAGCAATTCAGTGAGGAAGGCCAAGCTTCATTTTAGACTGCTGATGCTCAGGAAACTGCTCCTGGGCTTCGGGGCTTGTAAAAAAAGGGCCCTGATCTAGACGGGCAGAGCGCCGACCGGGCACCCTCACACTGCCAGCTCTTCATTCTCCATCAAGCCCGGCCTGAGGAGAAAATTAGAGACAGATAATACATGTAAATGGAAGGCAATAGCTCTGTCATGCCTCGCAGTAAAGTGCAGGAAAGCATCCTCTTTACACATTCTGATTTTCCTTTTTTTGGTCTGCCTAGGAATAGCTAAATTGCTTGCAACATTTTCACACCTTCCTYGCTAAAGGACCGTGCTATGCATGTTACCAAACACAGTTCAAGGCACCACTTCATCTACAAGCCACAGCTAATTTCAAAATCCGAACTCATCTCTCGCAGTTTTAAGCTGTGTAGAGGCAGCATATTTAAGACAGAAGAGAGGAAGGAAAAATTAAAGACAACTCTACTGGCTAATTACAAATCATTGCCCTGCACTGAAGAACAACCAGCAACAAGCACAAAGGCACCAGAATGGAGGGGTAAGACAACCAGGAACAGGCTAAGTAAATTCAGGGTGCCCTCAGCTTTCTGATCTGTCCTGCCAATGCTTCACCACGTGGCAGCTTCACTTGAGAAACGCTCCTTCCCACGGCCGCTCAATCAAGAGGCAAACGTTTTGCACCTCAAGGATGCCGTCGTTCCGAAGCTTATCTGAAACGGTGAAAGCCGGTGCTGCCCGCTGCTCCTAATGCAGCTGTTTGCCTTTACGAGGTCCCTGCGGGCCTGGTTCTGCAAGTCCCTGGGGAGGATTTTGGCGCCRGGAAGCCCAACCGTGGGCGCACGGGGCCGGGCCTGCTCCCCACAGCGCGTAACCGGCCGGTGAAGGCCTTGCAGGGAGGCTCCCTTCAGCGGCCCGGACCACAGCAAGCCACAAGGACCCAAAGTGCTCCATAAGGGCGGTGTTTCTCTCACACGGCTCAAGTGGGGGCCACCACGGACGCTTGGCATCTCCAGCTTCCCGCAGCGCATCCTGAAACCCCTGGCCCTACCGGAGCTGGAGCGCGCGCTGAGGGTACCRTGGAAGCCAGCAGGGTAGGTGGCTGTTCACAGGAATGTAAGCTTGCCAGGACCAGATGGAGTCCATGTTAATGACAACCAACCCCTCCAAGGAGCAGACAGCTTCTTTAATTTGCCTTTAATGCCGACAGCAGCTCGGGTTTCCTGCAAAGAGCAGGACAGCTCCTGGGCCGCAGTTAATTGCCACGATTTTGGCTCTCGCCAGCCCGTATCGGCAGCACGTTTGCTGATCCCGTGCCGCCGCAGTCTCATTGTGGTGTAAAGCGTCACCTCGCTTTCCTCTTCCACAGCTTTCTCAGGAAAAGCAAGTAAACACCCACGGTGGATAATTCCCCTCAAGGACATCTCGAAGACCATGAGAGCACAAGGAGCTCAGGTGCTTCGAGAACCTTTTTTCTGGTTCTTGGGTTTTTTGGGTTTTGCCCAGGTTGCTCCCCCACACCCAGATCATTTCTCCCATTTCTATCCTGCTGGTACAAGCAGATCCAAGCAAATGCCAGCATTGGAAATAACATTTTCAAAACCCTTATATTATGGGAAAACATTAAAAGACTGAGTTCGAAGCTCTTAATTTACTCCTAATGATCAATAACRGTAAGAGACCTCTAATCAAGACACATTTAAACGTGAAATGGGCTATTCCAGGTGAATTTCAAAATGTCACATCACAGTCAGATACACTCTAAATCCAAAGCAATTAAACACASACTCCCCTTTGGGGAAGGCAGCTTTCCTCCAGGAAGGCATTTTTTTCCAGGAGCTATACTTTATCTGTGGAGAACATCCTTCATTTTCCTACTTGCAAATGATCTCTGTATCTTTTCACCTTACTCCTTCTTGAGGACAGCTATCAAGTACTGTGCCACACACGTGCCAAGGACAAAACAAGAGCTGAAATCCATCACAGAGAATTTAAAAAAAAAAAAAAAAAAAAAGGAAGAAAAATAGGAAAAGAACCAATGCATTCCAGACATGTCTGGATTTTTAACTTGCTTAAAGTATCTGTCAATGCAGGGAAACAGAGTACCAGTCACAGCTATAGTTGCTTCCCCCTTGGTGCGCAGCCTTGGCACTGCCTGCAGCGTAACTGGTGCCCTGCCCCTGCTCTCCCCACGGAGCCTGGGACACCAGGTGCCCACGCAGACACTGCTCAAACCCACACGAACAGAAAGCTGCACTACTGATGCCCCAAAGGGCCAAGGAGAGATTTTATGACAGACACAAGAGCAGTAAATGGCTTGTGCTGCTAAGGGCACACAYTTTGCATGTCCACTTTCAGACATGAGCCTGAATCTTGCATTCTTCCCATCTAAAGGATTCCCAGGAGTAGTGGAGCAGGCTGTAACTCCATCAGAACACAGAAGATCCCACCTATGGCCACTTTATGTTCCTTTAGACAACAAGTACCTTTTCCTGTGCAGGGCGCAAGCAGATGGGAGAACAACTGCCGGGAAAAGGAAATAGGAAAAGCAAGAGGCA